TAAAAGAAGAATTGATTTAGAATGACAAGTGGAAAAAGTGAACAAGTTCAAAGTTAGAATAGTAATAGTAGTAACAATTGACATTGTAATGAAGGAAGAGTATACAAAATGAATAGACAAAATGAAAAATTGGTAGAGCCAAAATATGATTGGCGATTATCATACTTTAGCATAGAGGAAGGATTAAGGCCATAAAAGTTGGAGGGGAGGGATTAAACGAACTGCTTTTCTGCACACAGAGATCTGGCTTTTCTGTTTCGATAGCCAAAGATGGCTTCAGCAATACAAAAGATGACTCGGGTACGTGGTGATTCGCGTAAATTACTTTTCTGCCCTGTAGTTGACTATAAAGGCGGAGACTATAGAGATGGAGTGATCATTATCGCAAGGAGATGTTCAATGATCGCGCTTTTTATTGCTCGCTCCACTTCCACCTCTTTGTAACTAGCATACAGGGAATAGTGTTCTTGAAGCCTCTTGGACAAAACTCCAGTTGAACGACCAATATACCTGGCTCCACACGAGCGAGCAGGTGACTTGATAAACACATACCCATAGAGTTGGTGAACAGCAGGACCTTGTCCATCAGGTTACTGAACAGTAATGGTCGACCACTATCAATACAATTTTATGCATTCATACCTATGATTCAATTCCATCAACGGATATAACTTCTTAGAAACCATATAAATACAATTCTACAGCTTGATGATAAATTCGTTGAGAAGAGTTTCTTCGCGGAATCATCTCTTATTTTGATTTTCTATACTGTCAGTTATTGTATTTTTTCAAGTATTGGTTTTGTAGGGATTTAGTTTGATTGAATAGAGGATTTCATTCATCATGAACTGACATCAGCGTCAGAGAACCACTGAAATACCAACAAGGGAGTACTGGAGAGCCAGCTGTTTCGTCAGCCTAGTTTAAAGCTCTTTATCAGTACTCAGATGCCAGCTCATGATGAAATCCTCCATGCAATCAAGCACAAAATTCCTACAATACCGATACTTGAAAATTAATTAATCTGATACTCACTAGCGACTGTCCCTATTCAGGCAGGCAGTGACCTGGGATTCTGGTGGGAAGATGTGACCAAAAGGGTACAGGAGGTTGAAGATAAGGCAGTTACTCATCAAAGAAGACATTTCGAAATGGTAACGCTATGTCACATGAATTTGAAGAAGTTAGAATTCATGGGCTGGCCATTGGATCGGGTCCCACTGTCTCAATGGTCTACAAGCTAGCTCGCTAGTCTTGTAACCGAAAGGTTCTGGGTTCGAACTCCAGTGAGGTGGGTACGTGGTGATGAAGAGTCCCAAAGTAGGCTGACGAAACAGCTGGATGTCCAGTACTTCCTGGTTGCAGGTTTTCCAGTGGTTCTCTAACGCTGATGTCAGCTCTTGATAAAATCCTCCACCCAGTTATTGTATTGATTTTTATGCGCCATCTTACAAGTCTCTCGGTGAGTGAAAAACAAAGACAGAAAGATTGATTTCGTCATTTAATAAAAATTACCTGGCACTAAGCGGCTAGTTCACTTATTAATATATGTGTAGAACTTGATCACTATGGCAGTAAGTAATTCCATATTATTTTGTTTATCAGATGTATCACCACACAGTCAGTGAGTGAAACAGTATTAGTATTACTTACTGGATGACAAAGTTTCGAACACACACAATTCACTTATTGCTCTTCATAATCATACACATCATCATCAATTATAATCACACGACTTCGAAACAGGAGTTTTATACTTTTCTTTGTTCTCTCCTATTTGACGTCATCATTGGGGTAGTAGAATTTTCCAGATATCTGAGTGGACAAGTGTGTCGAATCATTCCTATTGCAGTCACGTATTTCCAGTTGATTCGATGAACAAAGCCACCGTTATCAGTCTTCCCTACTCGCCACCCTGTTAGTTGCATTAGATTTTAAAAACTGTCATCCTATCCCATCCAGCCTATTGTATGGTTGCGTGTAACTGCATGTAGTGAGCGGTATAGCTGAACTATTCTGTAGGTTTCTTATCTTATTTAAGTCAACCAATCTAGATTTTGCCAGGTTTTTATCCCTGACTAGTCTGACTGTCCCTGAGCAAGACAACACCAACAATAAGAAATCTAAATCATCAGTAGTAATTCCATACAAGGAATGAAACTCGAAGACCACCTTCCGCATAACTCTTAACAAGGCAGACAGGAATAAAAGTGGCTGGTATTCAAACCAACCAAAAACTCAATTATAAACAAGCTTTGTCGGTTAAAGCCTCCACAGTAAGATGGTGATAGAGAAGGATTCTTCCACGCTGGCTTGTAATGCCGGTGAACTACATGTTTTATTCTCTACAAGACCAATGGTGCTACCTCGGCTGAAAGATGAAGTACCTAGACTAGCTGGCCACTTCACATCACATCTATCAGTTCAACTGCAACTGCATTTGTGCTTGTGGAGCGAGTTTTATTCGCCGTTGTTGCTCTATAAACTTGACTTTTCGTGTTCACTCACTCGAGAACATCTCCCAGTATAGATGGCTAAGTAAAGGTGTAGTGAAAAAACCAACATCAGCACTTCGATATTGGACCAGCTGGTGCAAACCGGCCGACCGGCTACAAAGCCAGCTAGCCAGCGTGGAAGAATCCTTCCATCGGTATCATCACCTACCAGGTGCCCAATAAATTGACAAAATCCTCATCGAAGCACCGAATGCTCCAAACACCAGAGACTATTGCAATTCGCCTCAAACAACCAGTGAGTGCTCTGTGTGTGTGTGTGTGTGGAGAAGAAACAAGTCCAGCTAGCCAGCCCCTACTACTGCCCTGACCGACCTTCAGTGGATGGAGACTATGCATTCATGAATTTGTAATATTATCTTTCATAATTTCTCTCTCTCTGACATTCTTTGTGTATTGTTATGTTGATGCTATTGAATTGTAATCCACTATTGGCATTATTATTATTATTATTGATTCGATGTTATTTAAACAGCAACATGAATTTTGTTGTTCATAACGCTAATTCATTGATTCATTCATTCATTGACTATAATGGATGGGTGTATAACTGTAGAGCCTGATGATGATGATGGTGATGATGAAGGGGTTATCGAAAAGAGGATTTACTCTCTTTGTTCAGTATCTATCCATCCTTTTGAAAAATCGAAGTCCATACGTATCAAAGAGCTATGATTTCGATGGAATAGAGTGTAACTATAGTGCCTACTATTTGAATTTATTTTCATGCTATAATTTGTCGATGTATAAAATGTGAAGTAGACTCCATGGATGAAATAATGAGGAGTCGACCTGTAGGTCTATGGATGACTGGCTAATCTTCTAATTTCTGTTGCATTGTCACACACACACAAACTAAGACTAACAAGTTGAATTTGAGATTTTTCCGTCGATTAATTGGTACTAAAAATAGCTCGTTCTTCAGGTTGACATGTCTGTCGGCTTCTTGTGCGCAGACGCTTCGACGACAATGTCTCGGGCATTTCATTAGAATTTAATTGGTATATAGTGACTAGGAGTGGAATACAGTCAAGGATAACGTGCATTTCGTCCGCTCTATTTGGGACTCGTCAGCTGGAACATCATCACTCACTGGGAAATGAAGCTACATCCAGATGACAAGTCCCCAGAAAGGACGAAATGCGCGTCATCCTGGACTGGATTCCACTGCTAGTCATTATCCACTAATTGAAGTCAATTAGATATTTACTGATAATAGTTTAAGGTCAACGGGAAAATGACTAAAAATGTTTTTTATTTAAACGAATTTGTCAAATGTACAAGACACTCTGGCTTCTTTTTATCCAAAGGATCTCTTCACCACTTTCAAACCATAAGATGTATGTACTGACGCATACTGACACAGATTTAATCTTGACGCGAATTAGCTACCAGCTTACATGTTAGTTTAGATATGATGGAGAAGATATTTAGCTGAAGTGGATGATTTTGATGTGGTGTTGTGTTGTTCTCTGAGCTGGCTGGCTGGATAGTTCATTTGCGAAGATTTCATCACTGCCCTCCTACTAGGCAGGTGACATCTTCCTTCAGCGCATACACTTCAATGTCTCCTGGTCGGTGACTATCTTGGACGTGATTGGTTTTTATTTGTTTTTTCACATCTTCTAGGCTACTGGTATTGGATCTGATTGTTTCTTAGACTTGAACTTTGACCCTTTGTGTGTGTGTATGTGAAAGGTTTCTTTCTTATTAGTTGGTAAATTTTGTCTATTTCGAGTGTCTATTGATTGAATAAATTGTAACAACTGCCGAGAAAGAAACACTCCATTGGCCAAAGTGGACGCCCTTCGTCCTCTTCGTCTTTGTATCTATGATCATAGAGTAACTAGCCGTCAAATGACATGACATCCACTCCCTCACTCACTCATATCGCCTCACTGCATACAGACAACCACCACAAACAATAATTCGACCGCGACAACCAACTTCCAACTATTAGACAGATAGAGGAAACAATACCAGGAATGCTAGCCAGAGAATTTTTACAAGCCTGCCTGGTTGTTTTCCAGTGAATCATCAATCAATAGACACATTGAGATAGACAAAATTTATCAACCGATAAGAAAGGAACCTCACACGCACACACACACACACAGAAAGGGTTAAAGTTTAAGTCAAATAAACAATCAGTTCCAATACATTTACGTCCAAGATGGTCACCGACCAGGAGAGATGATTAATAGTGAACTCGTGGAGAAATATAAAAGCTCAATTCAATTGAAATTGAAGTGTATGCGCTGAATACGTCACTTGCCTAGTAGGGCGATGAAAGCTTCGCTCAGAGAATCCAAACCCCTGATCAAAAGACATGTTAGTTTAGAAATGGTAGCCAGCTTTATAATAAGCTTCGCATTTCCTATCTCCACACTACTACTATTTTAAAGTAATGTCTACTGCTGACACACACACACACACACAAAAGAAAAGAAGTAACTCTTCGAATGTATTAAATTATTCATTTCACAGATCCTTCAGTGTCCACTGATCGTACATTTATCTTTGCGTATATCAAAAATCAACCAATATGGCAATCATTACGTTTTTGGAATGCATGTTTCTTCCAATCCCTTCAAGAAGCCCGTTCAAAGGCAGAAGAATCACCATATGAGTAAGTTGCTTGAAGGTCAATCAGTCTTTTCAATTTCTACATACTTTATGATATATGTGTATAAAATTAGGGCACTGCGGTTGTAGACTATAACTGCTCCATTATGGATAAGATTTTATTTTGATAAACTGTCATACAATGTAGTGTTATTTTTATTTATTTTATTTTTTGTTTTTTGATTACAGCTTGATTCCACACCGTATTTTTGGTACATGTATGGAATTTCCAGCGTGGATATCGGTAGCCAAAATTTCGCAGGCCGACCATAGATATCAGGTGTGCGTCGGCGTGGGCTCGAACTCCGGACCATGTGCATGGTCGATGAGAGTCCTAACCACTGTGCCACTGATGTGATCACACGCAATTTCGAGCACAAACTATCGCCACTCATAATCACATCAAGAAGTAATCTATGTAGGGGGTGGGAGAGAAGTTGATTACTGAATCCTTCCTGGTTCATAGAGTCTACACCCAACAAATGCAGTAGGAGTGATTCGTCACTCATACCCAAAGAGTGGAAAATACCACTACTACCAGGAATCAAGTCAAGCGATGAAAAATAATGATGGAATTATATAAACGAAGTTAGAAAGTTGTTTGTGAGTAGTGCCTTGATAGGATTATGAGCAATAATATCTGCTCGAACCCTCGTCATCAGTAAACATTACTGTATAAAACAACACTGTGAGATGTTTTATCAAAACAAATTTTACCCATAATGGAATTTATAAATTTATTTTTCTCAAAACCCGTTCAATGTGATCAATATTCCAAAAGCATCCAATTAAACCTTGTCGTCTATCTATTTAGTCGTGTGACCGGTGTCTCTCTCTCAAACGAGCCAAAATTATGTCGTCTGTATAAATTATTCTCTTGTAAGCTTCTTAAAAGGTGATAGGAGATGAGTATTCCAAATGTATCGTCCTACGATGATAGTCTATGCAAATGTTCCAAATAGTAATGATTAACCTGGGATTCATTCAGTGGAAAATTCTTTACACAATGACCTTGACCTCAGTGTGTGTAACTTCTTTTTGCCTATGCTTCTTTTCGCTATGCTTTCCTTTCTTGACGTCGAACTAACAAGACGAAAATAGGATGGAACACTGAAAAGATCTATCTATCTACAGAAAGTCAACATGGAACGGACAGCTTATTAACTTCCACAGTTGGGTACCCGTATACACCAAACGAAACCTGATCCGTTCACTCAGCTACAGAGTTCGCAGAATTTGTACCCCGGACACCGTAGAAGAAAAACTGGACAATCTGAAGAGAATCCTCGTCGAGAATTGTTACCCAGAACTATTTATTGGAAAATCTATGAATCCTAGACCACAAAAACCGCCCATGCTTAGCGTCCTGAAAAAAACAACTCTACATAAATCTTCAATTCAATCGAGATATATCTGCGGAAACACTGAAAAATTGACTGTCGAGCTCACTTCAGAAAACCTTCTTCGCAGCTGAACTACCACTAACCTTCTCCACAAATCCATGATTCATGTGAACGTTAGGGATAAGACACCACTGCTGGCAGCCTCATCAATGTGTATTTATCAATTCACCTGCTGGTGTGGAGCCAGGTATGTCGGCCGTACCCAGCGTTCGCTTTCCAAACGCATCACTGAACACTTACCAACATGGTTTTACAAAGGAGAAAAACAGTGACCCCGCAGCTCCATCTTAGGAAATCTGATAGAATCCGGACACCAAGCTACACACCGAACAAACTTCAAAGCCGTCTACAGAGTAAGAAGTAGTCTTCCTAAAGGTGTACGAATCAGACTTCTTCAAGCTGCAGAAGCAATGGCGATTCACTTGCTAAGCCCTGAACTCTGCATACAGAAGAAGTTCGTTCAATCACTACACTTACAATGGACTTAATCTATCTTATTACCTGAAATGTAAATTCTACCTAATCCTTTTCTCTTCTGTCTCCTCATTTGTATCATTTTGTCTTCTCAATTGTAATATTTTACAATTTCAACTCTCTTGTTCTCTACCCCCACCCGATTTAATTTCTACACCACACTACCACTTTAATTGACCTGACCAAGTCTCAGTTTCTAGTCATTTATGTTACGTCATCCAACTTTATTGATCAATTTCAGTTCTAATTTAAATGGTATTATTATCTGCCTCACTTCTACTTAATCTCTGCTTGTAATTACCTCTGTTGTGCTACCCTGACCTAAGTTGAAACATTTTAGTCAATTATATTACGTCATCTAACTTACTAACTCAATCTTACTTTAGTTGCTGTACAATTAACCTTGTTTCTATATTAGATCATTCTTTTATTACCTGATCAATTATCTAAACTTGACAAACCTCATGTACACACACACACACACAAATAATTCTATATGAATGCGATTGCACAGCTAGTTATGTGAATGAATTCGCCGGCGAAAAGAGTCTCTTCGCTGAACGTCTTCTCGCTTTCCTTTCACCCATTGTCTAACACAACCTCGCAATATTCTCCTCAAAAATACACTACACACTTTTTCTACTCAGTCTATTGTCAATGTTCTTATTACCATGAGAATAAATGCATAGAGGATACATAGAGAGTAGACAAAAATCAATTAAAAATCTAAGTATCCTATTGGTCATTTCGCATAAAAAATCAATAATCCAGCATAGAATAAAAAACCTGATGACCAATTGAAGGAAAGCATGGAGTATATTGATTATTTAGATAAAAAAAATAATTAAGAAAAAAAAATATTTTCAACCAATCAGAATTCAAAAATATGAGAATACGATGTCTACGGGTGGCGTAGTAGTCTTGTCTGTATGCAAATGTTGTATGTACTACTCTTGTAATGTTTGTTATTGATCTGTATTGATCTGTATTCATTATGAAATTATTTAAATTGATCTCAGCGTATTAAGAAAATCAAAAACAAGATCTGTTTTCTGAACCTTTTCGCTGTGTAAGCTGCCACAGCTTCTTCATCAGATCTGATATATTGTTTGAAGCATTTTTCAGCATTTTCCAGGGCATTTTCTGCCTACAGTACTATGTTGCATTTCAATACAGAACTTAAAAAAAGAAAGAGAAACTGGTTTCGTTATAGGAAAGAGCAGAAACTGTCGAGTATGCAAAGCACACAAGATATATTCAGCGAAGAGACTCTTTTTTTTAAAAACGAATTTATTGTCAAGCTATACAATCGTATATTTATGGGTTTTTTTTAAAAAATTATACCCGGTGAGCGAGGGAATTAGGTCAAAGCTGTGAATACATGAAATAATAGTAATAATAATAATAATAATAATAGTAGTAGTAGTAGGAAATGAAATCGAAATATTTGTGATTATAATCATAGTTCAATGTCAACCGGCAAAATAATTAATGTCATATATAGAGTAAGAATACATAAGGTGTGTATAGATTTTGGAAAAGGGTACATAATTATAAGATTAGTAGACGAATATAAAATATTGCATAACATGGTGGGAAATTTGATAACATAGAATTCAATATTGTAAACATAAAAAATATTAAAATTCATAATTTTGGGTTCAGAATGACAAATAGGAGAAGTGGAAACGATTCAGAGTGAGAATAGTAAGAATAATAATAATAACAATAATAATCGCGTCGGTGGCACAGTGGTTAGGGCTCTCACCGACCATGCACATGGTCCGAGGTTCGATCCCCTGCCACTAACGCACACCTGATATCTATGGTCGACCTGCACAATTTGGGCTACCGATATCCGTGCTGAAAATTCCATACTTGTACCAAAAATACTGTGTGGAATCAAGCTGTAATCAAAAATATAAAAAAATAAAGTTACATAGAATAACTAAATAAACGAAATAAATAAATAAATGCCTATCCCTCTACGGCCAAGGCAGAAGTAGGGATTGTGCATACTTGTTTTGTACACAAAGACCTGTCTGGCTGGCTTAAAGTGATGAATAACCAAAGCCTCAGCTGTCGTTGTTTATAAGTCTGTAAAGAAGAAAACGCGGACAGCCAGTTAGCATGGATTCTGTATATGATCTTGAAATCATGGTCAGGGTTGATGTGGAGTGACAGAAGTCGGTCAGGTGTTCCACAATACACCTTCGCACACACACACACACACACTTCCTTTCTCCCTTGTAAAACCGTGCTGTTGGAATATGTTCTTGTATCCGTTCAGTGGAAAGCGGCGTCCTCTGACTACGGCCAATGTACCCTGCTCTACAAGAGGATCAGGTGAACTGGTAGATGCACATGGAGTATCCTAAGGCAGCGAGACAGATAAGAGAATAAGAAAACAAAAAGATTGAGCAGTGAAGAAATATTTACTTTGAATTAGATCTTTCCTCATCTCACCCTCTGGCTCTACTCTACTCTACTCTACTCTACTCTAATATTCACAAATACACGCATTTCTATTACAATACACAATACAAACAGTTTATCAATCATCAGGTAGTGGCACTGATATGTTTGTTTGTTAACAACAATTAGTCAGTCAGTGTCAACATGTCAAGCAGGCAAGGGGTGATAATTAACACGAAGCAAATTAATGAATACACACCATCAGAAAGGCAAAGATCGATTCCTCGGTGACAGATTGTTAAAGAAAATAAAACACGATTCGGATAATGATAATTTGTAGCTAAGCATGAAGTAGTCATAAAAGTAAAATAATTTTTACAAGGATAACACGTAATTAAAGATGAAGTGGTCGGAAAAAATAATAAAATAATTTGGACAATTATAATTTTTAAATGTTTAGGGGGGTGGGGAGAAGGGGGCGAAGTAGTCCTGTTTATGCATTCATGTAACTATAGCCAAGGAAGGTAAGCAAAGTGGCTTCACAAATTTCTTCAAAACACACAGGTTTGGCTTCTTCTTCTTCGTCAGGTGGATTCCTATTGCTTCAGCTATAGGTGTGGAGAAGACGAACTCGTGAAGCAAAATTAAGGTTAGAAGGAATGCGATAAATAATTTTAAATGCAGTATTAACGTCAACCTTATGCTCCCTAGG